AAAAAAAAAAAAAAAAAATAACAATAATAAATAAAATTGCGTGCGCTATCTCTTCGAATCTCAAACGTTTTAATGAATTCTCATGTAGGACAATTGCCGTGCGATGTAGCTTAAAATTAGTTGGTTTTAAAAAAATAAAAGTCACATTTTTTTACGTAACGTTGTTCTCGTTTAAGTGACCGTAGTTATACATGATGAAATCAGACATTTCACGGTTCAGGGAAAAAAATAAAACTTTTGTTTGGTAGCACATTTTGGTAACCATTTGGACAAAGGTTAGTAAATACGCGAAAAATAGCAAACATGTACTAATAACAGTGTCGTGTGAAAACTTTTCAGCGCTCCAAAGGTGAATTTTCAAATGTAATTTTAGAAAAAAATATTATAGTTATTCGTTTTGGCTGTGGGTTTTTCAGCCGACGCTCATCTGAATTAAAAAAAAATATATAGAACAGAGACGTGATGTTGGGAACGAAAGTTAACAGTGGGAATTTCAAAGGTATAAGCTTATAAATGTTTAGTCCCAACGTTTGTCCTTTGTCAACTCTGTTGAAAAAAGCTACAGCAAAAACAAGTTAGTGTAGAAATTCTAAAAAAATTGAAGATTATTCGTTGTAATTTTTTTTTTTTCATAGCTACGGAGAGGCTGGTATCCCCTGGATATACCGGCGGCCACGGAAGCTTATCATTTACAGCTTTAAAGAATGTTCTCCTTCCGCTATCTTTATATATATATATATACTGCTTATGCAATGTGTAGGTGTACGCTCAACGAGCGGGCGATGGCCTCTTTTCGTGTTTTATTTGAATTAGATGCTACCGAGACGTGTACACCACATACGCAATAAAATAATATGCGTGCATCGTCGTGGCCATCACCTTGATGCCAAGTACAAATTTTACGATTCGACTCTTGTTTTTTTTTTCCCCCACCACGAGCGACCTTCTTAAATTTCACGGAACTTGCGGAGCTTGAATTTTAATTGTTCGGAAACCCTATGCTGGTACACATACAAATGGCCGGGCCATCTTTTTTCGTTTCCTAACACAGATACATGGACTTTTTCAAAGTTATTTAAGCGCGTGTAAATTGCGCTTGTAAAATTTTTTCTAATCTTCGTTTGAGTACAATTATAATTTTAAATAGGTGCACCTAATTGGAAATAATTTTTATTATTATTTTTTTTTTCCTTCGGTGTCAAAGACAATTGGTCGAAATAAATACTTCAAAAGAATGCGGAAAAAGTATTTTAAAAAAAAGCAACATCAACAACAACAATAATAATAATAATTAGCCCAGATTATCTCTTGGCATTATGTCACGGGTATGGAGGGGGTTTATGGAGCAGTTTCTCGAGCGTCCAAGAACTCCGATTTATTGGTAGAGGCGTCGTAGATGGTCATCAAAAATCCTCCGCCCAGGCCCATACTGAAACAAAAGAAAAAAAAAAAAAAATGGAAAATTAAAACAGATCATTTTTTCCAAAGCAACAGGTATCCCGGGGAATCACTGGATTTTCCAATTTCTTTTTGTTTTCTAAAGAAAGACAACCGCTTCATAAAAAAAACTTGCGGAAAATGATTTTAATATGGTGCTTGGATTTTCCTTGGTAAAACTCGTGTTTGGAAACGTTTCGCATGCAAAGCTAAGTAATTAGTCATATTGCGCAAGAAATCGTGTCCACTTGTAATTGCCAGCACAATGTATATTTTCTTACCTGTGCAGGGAAGCAAGACCTTCGCAGAGCAGCGTCGCGATCGCCGCGTCCACTGCCGATCCATTGCGTTTGAGTATGTCCGAGCCGATTTCCGCGCAAGGCGGTCCATTCGTCGCCACCGCGGCCTGCGAGTAATAAAAATTTCTCTCCTTACGACATTCATACTTTGCTTAATGGTTTTTTAAAACTTTTCAAAATCAGTGAGAAACGACTTAGAAACCACAGACTACTTGAGTTATTTACGAGCTCTCGAGCCTTAATTTTTTTCTTGCTCGTAAAATACATAAAATACATTTTTATTGTTGTCGTCGCGTTGAACATAATCTGACAATATTTTTACGCGTTTCAATGAGCCTTGTGTCTCGAGTATACTCGCAAATCTCAAGTTCTATATGAAACGTAAATCTTGTATGACCTATTTTTTTTAATTTTTTTTTTTTTATCAGCATAAGCCTCTTGAGGGGCTGGATGTAGTTGTTGGGCGACGGCGGCAGATCGAAGCCGTTGGTCATATTCGGCGAGCTAAAATCGTCCATCTCGTCGTTGAAAATGATTCCCGTCGACCTGGATCGAAGCTTGGAACCCAGACTGCAAAACATTACAATTTTCCAATGATCAAATATGCATACGAATACATCCCCTTTTGAAAACGAAAAAGAAAACGCGTACACCTGATTGATGGTCGACGTGACAGACACGGCCGAGCCGTCGGCGGCCAAGACAGACACGTGCGCGGTCCCGTGGTCCTCCACGTTTGACGTCACGGCGCCGTAAAATTCCGGATCATTCGACGTCCTGTTGTCCTTAATTTCCGACCTTATGGAATCCGTGAAATCCTGCGACGTCAACNAAATATGAGTTAATCAAATAGTTGAATAAAATTTATCATGAAACGTCATTCTTTCATACGATATAAGAATTTTTTTTTTTTTCAACAACCACTGACTAATTTATCGGCATAAAATTCTTTGTTTCATCTCGTGACACATTCTTATAATATTAGTCAACGAACGATGATAATAAGAGTTGTAACTTTTATCTTATCATAATTTCCTACTGTACAAATTGGAACACTTAAATATGATCATACATTTTTGTAAATACCAAGCGGCGACTCGCTGACGTATCTGTTGGTCCTACTGTTGGCTTTGAGATTGTGCGTTATGATTACGACCAAAATAACTAGGACGACGATACTCCCGCCGACGACGCTGAGTTTTTTTACGTGTCTGAAATTAAATCAACCATTTGAAAATGGTAATTATTATTGTATAAAATTTAAACGTTCGTTAGGTTTAACGGAACATTTATTACTACGTATATGCTTGAAAGAGTTGGCACAACGATTCATCGAAATCGTATTTTTTTTTAACAAACTTCACAAGACGGGAAGTCTAAAAGCGTCTCGGAACGATGTTACAATTATTTTTTTTTTTCAGCGCCAAACTAAAAATAGAGCAAAAAATAAATACAATGCGAATTTAAAATTTATGGTAATGAAAGACAATGCTCGTACGTTGGAAAACGGCGAGTAGTCGTTACTAAAGCGTGAGCTGTAATCATTTGTTTCATACATATATAAAAAAAAAAATTCCAAGTACAAACGAGCTCACTTATTTTTGTATAGAAGCGCAATTGCTTTTTTTTTCTTTCCACTTTCGAAGAAGGCTACGCACATTCCTTGAGGAATTAAATTTCATAAATCAGTTCTCGCTGATTTCCACGAGCATATATTATACACGCGTTTGTTATAAATGTCAAGGCCGTAGAAACCCCATTATGACAGCCGGTGCGTATAACGTTTAGTGTATACCGCAATGAATCAAACGTGCCGATCGCTGCGTTCGTCGTTTGAAAAATAACAATAATAAATAAAATTGCGTGCGCTATCTCTTCGAATCTCAAACGTTTTAATGAATTCTCATGTAGGACAATTGCCGTGCGATGTAGCTTAAAATTAGTTGGTTTTAAAAAAATAAAAGTCACATTTTTTTACGTAACGTTGTTCTCGTTTAAGTGACCGTAGTTATACATGATGAAATCAGACATTTCACGGTTCAGGGAAAAAAATAAAACTTTTGTTTGGTAGCACATTTTGGTAACCATTTGGACAAAGGTTAGTAAATACGCGAAAAATAGCAAACATGTACTAATAACAGTGTCGTGTGAAAACTTTTCAGCGCTCCAAAGGTGAATTTTCAAATGTAATTTTAGAAAAAAATATTATAGTTATTCGTTTTGGCTGTGGGTTTTTCAGCCGACGCTCATCTGAATTAAAAAAAAATATATAGAACAGAGACGTGATGTTGGGAACGAAAGTTAACAGTGGGAATTTCAAAGGTATAAGCTTATAAATGTTTAGTCCCAACGTTTGTCCTTTGTCAACTCTGTTGAAAAAAGCTACAGCAAAAACAAGTTAGTGTAGAAATTCTAAAAAAATTGAAGATTATTCGTTGTAATTTTTTTTTTTTCATAGCTACGGAGAGGCTGGTATCCCCTGGATATACCGGCGGCCACGGAAGCTTATCATTTACAGCTTTAAAGAATGTTCTCCTTCCGCTATCTTTATATATATATATATACTGCTTATGCAATGTGTAGGTGTACGCTCAACGAGCGGGCGATGGCCTCTTTTCGTGTTTTATTTGAATTAGATGCTACCGAGACGTGTACACCACATACGCAATAAAATAATATGCGTGCATCGTCGTGGCCATCACCTTGATGCCAAGTACAAATTTTACGATTCGACTCTTGTTTTTTTTTTCCCCCACCACGAGCGACCTTCTTAAATTTCACGGAACTTGCGGAGCTTGAATTTTAATTGTTCGGAAACCCTATGCTGGTACACATACAAATGGCCGGGCCATCTTTTTTCGTTTCCTAACACAGATACATGGACTTTTTCAAAGTTATTTAAGCGCGTGTAAATTGCGCTTGTAAAATTTTTTCTAATCTTCGTTTGAGTACAATTATAATTTTAAATAGGTGCACCTAATTGGAAATAATTTTTATTATTATTTTTTTTTTCCTTCGGTGTCAAAGACAATTGGTCGAAATAAATACTTCAAAAGAATGCGGAAAAAGTATTTTAAAAAAAAGCAACATCAACAACAACAATAATAATAATAATTAGCCCAGATTATCTCTTGGCATTATGTCACGGGTATGGAGGGGGTTTATGAGCGTGAGAAAATCGTCGCTGATATTTATACTGTGTATGCACGCAGTTGCAAGTGTCTTTCGGTAATTGCCTCTCATTGATCGCATTGTTTTCTAAATTAATCTCAATTGGTATATATACATAAGACATCTCGTGGTGGTAATCGCACATTTGTCCCGCTCTTTCAGATGTGTTTTTTTTCTTTCGCGGTTTTTTTTTTGTTTTTGAAAAAGTTTTTATTTCATCTGCCTGTGCTGAAATACCGTTCACCTGCTAAAATAGGATAGATAAGATGTATACGATTACAGATAAAGGTATCGATCGTCGCTACGAATCATAAGATTAGAGGGATTAGATTTTTTTTTAATGTTCAATGTCGCGTTTATGTCAGTTAAAGCAAGTATTCACAACTTTGTACACAACAAATTTGAAGTTTACTCGATTTTTTTATGCATACGAAGATTACTTATTTCTTTTCTTATCGCCGTCAATTGAATGCACGCGCGAAATCATTCGCGTTAATCGGGATCGTTGACCTATGTTATTTTTAGATACCCATTAATGAATTTGAACATTTTGAGGCTCAAAATACTATATTTCCTTAAAAAATTTTTATTTACATTGTACCGTGCTTAAACGTAATCCAAAGCATATATTTGAGATAAGACCGAGGTTATTCAAAATAAGCTGTTAGAAAAATAAAATTAAAAAAAATGTAATAAAAACAAAGTTTCGCGGGCGAAAGAATTTATTGTTATTACCTCTGAGGTTGAAAGTACCACGAAGCAGAGATTATTAGCGTCATTATAACGTAAAATACCAAGATCCGTGTTCAAACAGCGAATAAGAACGTTGGATATAGGTATTCGGTTTGTAATCGCAATTTTTACGATTTGTAAAAAAAAATGAAGAAAGAAAATTTTTAAAATCGTGCCCAATGCAAAATAAGTTACAGTGTAAACGAGGTGTATAAGAGGCGTGACGCACGACGAGGCTCGACAATACGGTTTGCAAAATGTTGTCCACCAAACGCGATTTTTTTTTTTAGTTTTTCAAAAGTTTCGCAACACACATTTCTTGCACATTGAGATATTTTTCTGATGCCACTTGTGTTTTGCACCACGAATTTAAACTGATTACACGAATTGCAGATAATCTTCGCGTGGTAACATCATCCATCATGTATTCACAATAAACATACCTATATCCATGCACTAATCACACCAACAGCAGAGCAGACGTGTAAAATTATACAGATACGAGTACCTACATGTACACGGTCGCATATATGTGAGCACACGATTTAAGTATCCATGTATAAAAAATAGTTTCGCGCTCCTTTAAAGATACGATATATTTAAAGGAGCGCGATGCGATGTGATATTTAAAGTATATTTTTAATAATCAGATTTGTTTTTTGTGACGCGAAACTTTGCAGTATTACCGATCGCGAGCCGCGTTTTTTCCTCTCGTGTGTCAATACAACAACAGCGATAATGATACTAATAAAAAATCAAACACGCGCGAGAAAAAGAAACTCACACGAGAGGATGCACCGCTAGTGTAAATTTAAAATAAGTGCAGGTGAAAAAACAAGCTTGGAGCTCATAAGTTAGGGTAAATTAAAGCGAAAGAGATAAAAAAAAGGATATGTAGAAAAGTGCGAGTGACGAGAGATAGAGAGCACGAACCCGATCATGCCGATCATTGGTGACTGCGGGCGATTGCAACGCTTATGATACCGTGGCTCTCCCGTGCGCAGCACAATCTCAACTAAATCGTCGTGCCAAAGGCACCAGCGATTATACTAAACTGCGAGGTAGGTATACGTGGGTATATATGTCGCATTGTACAAGAGCGTACTTTTATGCACAAACTCTTTTTATTACGAATACTTACAGGAGTGTGTATATATATATATATACAAAGGAAAAGTAATAGCAGCAACGAAGAGCAAAATAGAGGGGAGATGAATGGTGGGGTATTTTTTTGTCAAGCAATCTTTTCGAGGAGTCGGGGGAGACGCATGTCTCGTTCCTGCAATGTTTTTTTTTCCTCCTGAAACTTATGATGAACTTTGCATTTTTTAAATCAATATAACCACAAGTACATCGCGGTCAATTAGATAGAAACATCAAAAGTCTTTGGAAAAAATATCGGGGATCTCCAAACTTCATATACATGCACACGAGTGATCGGTAAAAGCTCCGAACGTCACGATATTTTATGCCACTTACATAAAATCCCTTGATCTCTCACGTGTGAGGTGTACCATACACGGGAATTACCCGTTCTCTCCTCATACTCTCGTACATGTACGATAGTTTTTTTTACACGCATACGCGAACACGTTGACTTATACCTTGGAAGGAAAACGAATGTGCAGGGGTACCTATATATGTATAACAATGAAGGTGCGGGATCAAACGCCTGCAGAGTATTTTGTCTGTTACTTATCTAATAATTTAATGGGCTATATTTGTTGAATCGTTTGCGTTGGTCGGTGAGCTAATACCATGATCGGATGCTTCATACCATGTACTTATTTAGAGATGTATGAAGCTTATTTATAATATCAGTACTTATATGTACCAGTAGGTCGATGTGCTCATTAAGAGTGCATGCCGACAGTAGAGGAGAAATAATGGTTTTCATTACGATAGAGTATATATACATACATACATACACACACGCGCGCATATATATATGTGTGTGTGTGTGTGTGTGTGTGTGTGTATTTAATCAAATCATTTCGATTAAAAAAATACGTCACGAATGACATTTGAACATGAATGAATCATTGGTCTTATTTACCGAGGGTTGTCGCACAGCTCGATTATCTTCCCGTATACTGAATCAAATTATCAAAACGTATACTTATATTGGACGCGTTTGTTTACTTTTTTCTTTAACAAAACTTAAAAACTGAAGATAATTGAGGGCATGAACGTCAAAAAAATCTTATCAATTTTTCAACATTTTTGACGTGACGCGTATATATATAATTTTAACGCGTATTCGTCAGTTCTTACTTGCAACACCATCGCTCAATCAATAAAATATAATTATTAATTCATTGTATACAACCAAATGAAAGTATGTACAAACATTTGTATTATATATCAACTAGTTATTAAGACTCGTGAGCGGATGATTTTGATTCCTCAAAGAGGAAGTTTTTCTGCACAATGGGGTATCCCCGATGAGTGATTGTGATCTACTCAATCGGTAAATGATATAAGTACAGTAGAAAAACTACTCTGCATAATTGACCAAGGTGAGTAATAAGGAAAATTCGGCTTTATAATAGAATTGAATGACATATTTCCTTCATGGTAAGAAGGTGCCGGTTAAAACCATTGAATGACTGAATTGAAGTGAAGAACAAGAAAAATAAATCCTATCACATGTACGATGTACATTAAAACATAAACTAATTATGCACACTTAAATAGAACTTTGATACGTCCAAGACTGTACTGCTGCTATTCAATAAGCTTTTTCAATTTGTATGTACCTTCTCAAGAAAATTTCCAGAGACGAAGCATTTCTTTTACAATTTGTTCAAGTTATTACGTTTCTAGCATGGTTTGATTTTCGTATAAACGAAAAAAAAAAAAAAATAAATAACTAAAGTGAAAAAAAACGCTACTCTACGTTAAAAGTTGGCGCGCCAAGGGTTTCAAACTTAACAAGAAAAAAAAAGTTTGCTCAATCGTGATGACGTGTTAACCTCAATGGTTAATTAAACTATGATTAAAACATTATTCGTTTAACGTTGCAGAAACGTTTCTGAAAATTGAATTCAGTCATGTAATGGAAAACTAAAATTATCTATCGATTCTAAATGTGCTCTGTCACTTCACTTCACCACCGTACACTTAATACAGTTGGAGACAATGATTGAGTTTTCACAAGTAAACACACACATGCACACAAACATACGTGTATACATATATAGTATTGAGTAAACCTTTCGCACCGGAAAAACGGCGTAGTCATTTTGAGTTCAAGCAGTTGTTTTCCGGATAAAATTCTTCATCAACGATGGCACGTTACGACCGGGCGATCACAGTTTTCTCCCCGGACGGACATCTTCTTCAGGTCGAGTACGCCCAGGAGGCGGTCCGAAAGGGATCCACGGCTGTGAGTCGACGTTTGCCATTCTAACCTCGATGCCTCTGCTCCAAATGCTGTACACAAACGCGGCTTTACATTTTTTACGCTATTATTTTGTTTTTGCTTTCGTATAAAAAACATACTTTTAAAAAACGCATTTTTGTGATTTGTTTACGGATTAATTGTTTTACGTTTATTGTTGATACACGCTGTTTTGTTTGGACAAAAGATAGCCCATCGTACTTTTCAAACAATTATGACTTTTTGAAATCTGACTTGTCATTCAAGTTTTTTAGTTCATTAAATTTATCAACTTCGACTACGGTATAATTTGTCATTTGTAAAATAAAATAATGAGAATGTAGTGCTGATTCATTTCGTGTTGCATTCAAGGTTGGAGTTCGTGGAACAGATGTAGTGGTGCTTGGTGTGGAAAAAAAATCTGTGGCCAAGCTTCAGGAAGAAAGGACTGTGCGTAAAATTTGTCTGCTGGACAATCACGTGGTCATGGCATTTGCTGGTCTCACTGCTGATGCCAGAGTGTTGATCAATAGAGCACAAATTGAATGTCAAAGTCACAAATTGACAGTTGAAGATCCAGTAACATTAGAATATATTACTAGGTATATTGCAAGTAAGTTGAACAAATCTATCAGTCGTACCTACTACTCAAGAAAGCTAAGTTTTTTAAATTCTAATTCGTAGGTTTGAAACAGAAATATACACAAAGCAATGGTAGAAGACCTTTTGGTATTTCTTGTCTTTTGGCAGGGTTTGATTATGATGGTGTACCTCATTTATATCAAACAGAACCGTCTGGTATTTACTACGAATGGAAGGTATTGATCAACACAATAACTCATTTTCAATCAGTACTAGTATAGTTATTAAGAGTTATTACTTTGTAGGCTAATGCTACTGGTCGTAATGCAAAAACAGTAAAAGAATTCTTAGAAAAATATTATACTCCTGAAGAAGTGTCTACAGACAAAGGTACCATAAAACTGGCAATTAGAGCGCTACTTGAAGTAGTGCAATCTGGTCAGAAAAATCTGGAGATTGCTGTTATGCGCAGAGGGAAACCTATGCGAGTAAGTTTGTAGTAAATATAATTGTTGAATGTTTTATTTAATATCTCGTTTAATAGTACTTTGATACTTCAACACAAATTGATAAAAAAAACTATGTTTCTAGATGCTGGATTCAGAGACGATTGGAGAATACGTTACTGAGATTGAAAAAGAGAAGGAAGCCGAGGCAGAAAAGAAAAAGCAGAAAAAGTGATCACATACTTTGTTAAAAACACAATTTTATAGATTTTTAATTCTTGCAAGAGTTTTTTTATAAGGGATGTGTAAAGGTGTTCAAGATTTTGAGACTCCACAACAAACTTCAAAGCTGCGTCAGATGTGGACATGTGAATATAACAGCTGATAACTGGTGCAACACTAAAAGTAATTTTCTTATTACAAAATAAAGTTTTTGAAACTTACGGGTTACAATTGAGATATTGATTTCCTCCTTAACTTAAATTAAAAATTAATGAAAATAAAAAACCAATAATTTAATGACGTGATAAAAATTTATTTAATAGTTTTGTAGTTAACCAATTATACAGACATACTTTGAAAATCCACACATAACATAGAGTTTGACATTGCACTTTTCCAATTCACAAAGTGATAAAAGTACAATCTTTTCTCACATTGAGCAATCATTATCCATTAAATTGATCAATAACAATTTTCTAAATTTCATCTGAATGAATCATCACAAAAAGGAATTTGACATTAATGTCTTTCTTGTCTATCCCTCCTGTCACTTTCTACTGATGAATATTCAACTGACAGAGCCTTGCCCCTGTGATTAAATATTTGAAACGAAGGTAGATTACGAAGTGTCTCCCATGACTTGTTTTCAAGATCTACAACAGCTCTTATTTCTTTAAAATCACCAGCTATGTGCAGCACACCATACATGACAGCAAACAAACTTAGTATTGTTTGTATGATTATCTGTAAAATTAGTGATATTAGTTTCTTACTTGTAAAAATACCTTGTTTTTAATCAAAGATTGTCACACCATGTACATAAAGTAATCAATACATAAACATTTTTGCACTCACATCAATTGGTAATGTTGTGAACTCCTGTTCTGTTATCCTCACATATGAACGATCTGAAAATAAATAATTCGTTAAGTTTTATGGTAAACAAGTCCTAGAACCTATTACTTTCAACAAACAATCCAAAAATAAGACACAGTGAAACAAGTCACTTACGTTGTACTGCAGAGTAGGTTGCGTGTAAAATCGAAACGAAGCCGAGGAATGTAACAATTTTATGCACCACTTTCGCACTCATGATTACAAAATATATAATTAGCTACTCTTTGGCCTAAACTAAACTAATTAATTTCAACAACTTAAAGTTCCAACAGCCGATCGGGGGTTAACTCGTCTGTGTTATGATAATTTCGTTACAACTCGCCATCGCCAATGTATGGTAAATTAAAGGTTGGTGGTTACTGCCCGATCGTAAATGGAACCCTAGCTAGGCCCGCGTAACAGCCAAGGTACGATTTCTGGTCGGGTGGTTACCCTACTAAATATGGAAGACAAGTTAACTTATGTAAGGCCCTTACGTGGCACCCACAGCGCAGCTCTACTTTCACTTGCGGATTCTGCTATACCGACGGCAGATCATGAAGAGACACAATGTAAGTTCCCTATTGTATCGATAACTACCGATTCGGCAGGATCCTTTTTTATCACACTGCGCATATATATACCTAAAACAGGAGAGGAAGTTGTCGAAGCAGAAAAATATCTTTTTCGACGTCCTGTTGTCACGCGTTAAGCGACTCTTCCAAAATGGTAAAAATTATAATCCTTGATTTTCCAGTGAATCTTTACATTAAAATCTCACAAATTTATGATTAGTGACAATAAATCGCTTCAACAAATACTTGAGTCTATATTTTTGTTAAATTGTGCGAATATTTTATCAAAGTCAGTGATTGTAGAGCAACGAAAGAAGTGGGGTTATGTTAATGTTATTGTGGGGTTTAACGCAAAAAAGATAATAAGTGTCTGTCTCTTATTTCCAGTATTATAATTAGTGCAAAATTGTTTCAATGAATGGCTACCTAGTTTTGATTGCCCATAAACTTTTTCTTTAAATTTAGTTGCTGCCAAACATAGTTTTTCAAGTAGTGCTCTCAAGTGTTGATCATTATTGGCTCCTCGTTAACATTAACAAATACAACAATCACTTTAGTTTTAAAAATTGTTAAACACTTGAGGAAATTTCTCGAGCTAGACTAATTATTGATTATTTTGATAGGCGAAGCGCACGAAGAAGGTCGGAATCACCGGTAAATATGGAACTCGTTATGGTGCCTCTCTCAGGAAAATGGTCAAGAAAATGGAAATCTCACAACATTCAAAATACACATGCACATTTTGTGGAAAGGTAAAATTATTAAAATTCTTATTTACAATCTTACTGCATGAATTGAGAAAAACGTATGTGGTTGTTTCAACTGTAGCAAACATTTGTATTCCATTCTATTGTAGGAAGCAATGAAAAGGAGTGTCGTTGGAATTTGGTCGTGCAAACGTTGCAAAAGGACGGTCGCTGGTGGTGCCTGGGTATTATCCACAACCACAGCATCAGCTGTAAGGTCAGCCGTGCGTCGATTACGTGAAGTTAAAGACCAGTAAAATTAGTTGAATAAAAATCTATTTAAGTAATTTTAACTTGCTTTTTTCTTTATTTTATATATCTTTTTTTATGAATCTTTTAAACAGTGTTGAAAATTTTTAAAGATATCAAGCAATTGTGAGTAGGAGAATTAAAAATGAGGGAAAAAAATAAAAGTTTTACATATCTGAAGTTCTTATTAAACGCAACTTACTAACGTAAGCCTAAATTAAGGTGCTCTTATTTGACCACATCTGTTGTTGAAATTTTATTGCCTCAATTTGACTTATTTGAGTATAAATCTGATTATATTTATTTGCACCAAACAATAAAAGTGAGAACAATAGAAAGCCATACTTTCTTGAGATTTAATCATAACATTCGGAAAAGGTTACAATAATTGATGTGCTGTTGGAATATGCACACTGAACAAGATTATCACATTCAGGATACTTACAATTGATACAATTGTTAAATCCTCTGCTGAACTAAGTGGTGGTGTATCACCAGCAGTATAAGCAAATAATTTTTTCTCCTAATCAATTTTAAAATAAAAATATTGAACTCTTTAATGAATATTTTTTTTTAACAACTACTTTTGTATGCTTGGAATGAACTTGAACAATTTTTAAATGTACAGCATCCAACACATCTTAGTTACTATACTTGAAGAAAAAGTACCAAATAATTATTTAATTCGTCAACCAATCACTTCTTAAATTCTTTATCAACCCCTTGAATCTGACTATTATTTGAAAATATTTTTTCAGTTCACTCTAATAGTTATCATAATTTGAAATTGTTTCAATTTCACTTTTAAAACAAATCAAATAGGTATGTATTTAGAGTATTAATGATTGCCCAAAGAATTTTAGCTTTGTCAGATTAAAACCTTCAGATATTTATGATTATGAGTAAAATAAAATTAACTATTTGTTATCCTTAAAATACAACTATTGAAAAAATAATAGGAAGAAAGTTGGAATATAAAATGTTCACCCTTATTTGAAAAATAAATGTACTCATTTCTTTTAACTGTTGAAAAAAAAAAACCATTCTACAATTACTTTAATGTCAAATTAATAATTGTGATATTACATAGGCGTAATACATTTTTGGAAATGCAACTAATGCATCATAATTATGTTACTTTTATCAAAGTTTATAATAAATACTTTAGTGCTACAGATGTGTTTGATGGTTCAACATTGTGAGTCTAAGGAAAATAAAGTGACAAATTTAAATAAGAAATCTTCTTCTTAATGTTAGACATAATTTAAGACATTTGTATACTTGATTTTTTAATAGTGTGCTGTCTTATGTTACAAAAAAATCTTGCTTTAGTTTTGTATAGTTCTATGATTAGCAAAAATCACACATAAAAAGTGAGCAGTTGCAGATTAAAAAAAAAAAAATTGTTTTCACTATCATTTCGCCTTACAGATCGTTCGTGCCAGTCGATACAGGAGTGAGTTATACAAAATATGTTAATTGTAAAATTATCAACCCTTGCTCTTCAACGGCTTCAATTCTAGCCTTTTAAAACACTGACACTTGTATAAATTCACATTGTAAAAATTATCGCTCATTACACGTTTTATAAAAACTTTTCAATAACTCACTCTTGCCTACATGATAAAACACACGTTACAATTGAGGGTATGCGAAATTTCATTGAAATATTCTTTTTTATGTATAAAAAACTTTTTTTCTCTTAAGAAATAACAAAGCAAAGAAAAAAAGGCAGAAAGTACATAAAAACCTTCCCACGCTTCTAAATATAATCTTAATCTTTAGGAGCATAATTTTGAACTCTGTTTGAAAAACATCAGAAGCTGTCTTTCGCCGTCTCATCCTCGACCCGCAGCTCTGGCGGTGGATTGATACATACTACATCCGGAAGAATCTTCATTTTGGGCGGATGTCCAAAGGTGGGTGCGCACACGCTAAAATCCTTAGTAAGATCACGGATATCCTCATCTTGTTGCGCTATATCACAGTTGCTATTCGTTATGTTGACGCTGCTTGCGCTACCACTGTCGTCGCTCTCGCTGCCACCACCCACTGTAGTGGAGTTAGCAAACGGCGATGGTGGCACCGACAGTGAGCTGGTAGTGTTTCCTACTGCTAAAGGCGATAAGGCCTGGTTGCAATGGGCCAGGGCTATGAGAGCCTTTTGATTTTCGCGAGCATCTATCAGGAATATGCTCTCTTTGACCTCTTTTGCATTGTATTCATCGATTCTGAAATAGACAAGGATTCAATTTAATATCGTTGCAGAAGTTCGAAAAGGGATAAAATTCACGTTCATGTTTATTTAATTAAATTTAACTCACTTATCGTAAATGACGGCGTGTAGGCCGAGCTTTTTGAGATGCTGGATTGTATCCTTGTCATTGTTGTCGTCACCCCAGCAGAATATAATAAGCCCTCGGTCCTTGACCAACTTTACCTGACTCGGATCGCGAAGTATGTCCTCCGTGTGCACATTTATCCCGAGAAGGTCAGCGGCAAGCGCATGTCTCATAGCCATTGGTATTGTCTGACACCTCGGATCGTGATACGTTGGATACTTAACGGTCACACCTTGCGTTAAAAATACGACAGGATATTTGTTTTGTTTCAAGCGGATCATAGCACAAATATCTGGGTTGAACGATGAGAAGACGATTTTGCGATCACCACCATGCTCCAGCACGACTTTAAGTATGATGTCCAAGTACAAATTAAGGTCGAAAGGGTGATTAAGTTCAAACGTGCCGTCCTACATTGGGGTGTTGATAATTTATATTAATTAAGATATTAATTTATGTATCAGACTAATGAAATTTCGATAATAATAAATAATACAATACCTTTAGTTGCATAGTCCACTTTATCTCGATATTGCAGCCAACATGTTGTTCTAATTCTTCAAGTACCGTTTGAAGTGTGGGAAAAGGTTGATGGTCTTCTAGATCTTCGTCAAAAAACTTTGCCGTTTTTTCTCTGGCTTCTTCCAAATGATAGACCTACGAATGGACAATTTATTCAAGTATATGCGTGTGATGTGTACCAACAAAAAAATCAGAGATAAAATTAAAAATATAAAAAGCCAAAAGGTTTATTGAGACTTTGCGCATACAATTCATTTTGTATTTTGATTGCACGCAATCTTTTATTTTTATAGTGTTTTGTAAAGCACGCAGAAAATAACAGAAAAACTCAAGACTGGAAAATTGACCGAAATTGTTTTATTCATTTTTTTAAATAAATTTTTTTTCGACACATGCTGCATCATGACGTGTTCGTGAAAAAAGGTAAAAGAAAAAAATAGGAAACGATATTGCGGCTATTCTTGTGGATTTTTGGGCAAAGCTGTTATAAAAAGGTAAAGGCGATATAACTTTCGAATGGTTCTAAATTTTGCTGATACATTGGCATTATCATGTATTTTTGTAAAACTAAGATGGTTTGCTGTATGACAAGAAGTTTGTGAAGGTAAAGGGGCTGAAAGAGGAAATTGGAGAAAAACGAGATGAAACGAAGATATTTATTTGCGGAAGCTACAAGTCGATTTTGATTGTTAATTCAGAGATGAAAAAATGTCTAAAATTTGAAGTACTAGGTAGCCACTGAATTTTTAAAAATGATTACTGTTAATTTTAACTCTTTCAGTTTCAAGGTAAATTTAAGTTATTAATACTGAAGCACACATAAAAACTGGGAAGAAATAATTTATGTGCACCAGTAATAGGTACAATAACAAATTCAAAATCAATTTCACAAGCGCAGAAACATGATGGATCTGGCATTTTTACCGCAAAACTATTCTACTCACACTCGAGTATGAATAATTAATGGAAAAGTTAGTCACGATGGTGATAGACTGAAAGAATTTATAATACTAAACAAATACAAGTACAGTATCTAGTATCGGAATAACTGTACAAGGAAGTTTCACATGTGCATTGTTTTTCGTTAAAAAAATAAAAGGCATTATTAAAAAAAAATATACAATGGACGCATTTATAAAGGTACGGAAAAAAGGTGACCATTCCCCTGACATAAATCCAAACGAAAATATGAATTTATATTAATGCGTGCAGCATGTGAAATGCGATAAATTAGAAATTAGAGTATAAAATCTTGATACATGCAATGGGTTTTGCATGAGATCGCGCAAGTGGTATGAAAGCTCACCATTTCGTTAACCCCCTGTTGGGATGTATCAAGGTAATACAATACCTGACCCAAGGAGTCCCCGGGATAATAATAATCCTGTTAAATATTGAAATTAAGATCTATTCCGAAAGACAGACTTCGTGGACAATTTGAGTTTGCACCATCCATGTATGAGGTGAGTACTTTGTGTTTTTCTCGATACTCTCAAGGTTTTGAAACGAAAATAACATTGAGTTTTGTGAGAGAAAAAAGAAAGACACAGTAAAGGGACCAAGTTTTTTATCCACAGTTGGAGGGTCATGGGTACCAAAAATCTTGAGATACAAGACTGGTGTAGAATCAGAGTATCAGATCATATTGACTTGTAACTCTATGTCATGGTATTTCTAAGTATTTTAGTACAAATTATACTTAAAAACTGTAATCATTTTGGATAAAGATAGAAAATTTATGTAGTAGCACTTAAATTTATAAGTTATTGATTAGATTAATAGCTTAATTAATTTTTCAATAGTAATTTTAATATTTTATAATTGCACTTCTTTTGTAAATAGTAAAAAACTACAACTTTCAATGAGAATTTGCTATAATCATTTTACTAATGTAATTTAATTTTTTTTATAATAATAAAATATAAATACCTTTAGTAAATGTAACTGCTGCAAGGTTAGATCCTTCACGGGTATTTCCAGCATATCCATAGCCTCTATTTGCTTTTTGCGTTTCAACGAAATCGATACATAAAAATCGTGGTAGATAACGGGAATCAAGTCCTTGGAAAGTTGTACATCAAACTCAACCATGTCGGCACCGTGGTAAGAAGCAGTCTTCAATGATGCGATTGTGTTTTCTCGAACATTAGCACAACTATAGAACAACAAAGAAATTCATCAATACTTAGAGTTGACATAGGAAATTTTTTAATTATACAGCACATTACTTTTTCATCTCATGTTTAAACGAAGTTCCAAGTCCTCGATGACCGACATCTAATCCAGACCACCTTGCCTCCCAGTGTCTTGCATAAGAAATCCTCATATCCCAGGGAAAGTCAGGAATAGGCTTAATAGTTACATATTCTACAGTTAATTGTCCTATAATGAAGATTGGCCATTAATAAAGATTATTTAATGAAATTTCTTTGATTATAGTTACAAGATGGTTTGATAATTTACCTATAGGTCTATGCTTAGTACTAGTAATGGGCACTGTCAGAAGCCCAACACTGGCCTGCAAAGTGCTAGGCAAAATATAACTGAAGCCAATGTGAGCAGGCGGCTCACCATCAAATGATCTTAATTGGACGTAGTAGTCCACTAAGTATGCCTGAAAAAAATATTTTATGAAATAAATACAGTTACATACATTGTAAATACATTAACATGAGCAAGTAGTTTAAGTATTGTATAGAATGTAATTTCTACTAATGAAATTGGCTTCTTCAACTCTTAACTACCAAACTAATAAACCATGAACTTTATCTCATGGAATCATAATGAAAAAGTATTAAAAAATCAATATATATGTATACAATAACAATAATACAACGTAGTAGCAACTCCAGTCACTTTATTTATTCTTGTTGTAATAAAGAAAAGTTTGTAAAAATTAATATTTTTAGCGAGAATACTTTTAAACTGCACGTCTTCAACAACAACCAGTCTACTTGAACCTTTGTTTCAAGTTAGTGTATGAAAATTAAATATTTTATGCAGTTTATGATAAAATTTGAACATGAGAAAAAAAAACATTTCATGTATGATTGAATACTTTAAAAATTTAATATTGGTAGCTAAGAGTTAAAATTAACAAAAGCATTCGCCAGACAAAGATATAAATATTGGCAGAGTCCAGCATTTTGGTATCGCAAAAATTTAATAAGTATGGTATAACGTCGTTGAGTTCCACATTTTTATTTATAAATAAAAGCTGAAAGATAGCAATCATTGTTAGTATAGTTCCAACATCATTAATTCAAGGTATACAAGAACACAATTCGTAAATTGACTGAGGCCTCAAACAGTAATTTAAATGCTAATCAAGAATAGGAGAAGAGAAAAGATAAAACTCATCCATCAGAGCACTATATTACAAACTTAGTTTTAGTAATAACAAAAACTAAAGAAGTTCGAGAAAGAGAGAGAGAGAGAGAAAGAGATAATGAGACTTAATTGAAAGTCTATAAATAGGGTCTGCCACTTTATGTTGACAACAATATAGACAGCTTCAAAAAAGCTCAAGACTCTACCAACTATATCGTATTTTCGATCGGCTCAGCTTATATAAGGCTTAGAGACAAGCTGTGACGTTCCTACATAAACTCATAGCATAAATGACGTGTTAAAAATAAGATCAATGGGTGAAAATGATTAAAAAGAGAAAGAAAAAAAAAAATTATATAAAGATGCATGAGCGTCGCGGACATCGTCACACTTTGTCTCTATACAATGATCCAATTAGAACCAATTAAAATGCCAAATGCTGTTCACTTGCGCTTGCTTGTGAAGCGGCACCCGCAACACCTGCCAATTATTAAAAGTTAATTTTTACTTTTTCGTACTTTTTAAGAAATTTTTTATTTTGTTTAAATTCAATGTATTCGAATTTTGTATATGCATTTATTTTATGTACATATTATGTGCATAATTTCTGGCATTGATCGACCGGGCAGCGAGACGGTCTGCACGTGCAGTTCACTGGTCGATTAGAGCTAGAAAATAATAGCCATAAACACTAAGTATAGGATATAGAAAGGACTGATGGGAATCTCACCATTTTCGACGCACACAGATGTATACGAGATGTGACAGCGTTGATATTTGTAACATTTTCTTAGTACTTTTTTTCTTTTTTATTCAAGCGTAGCAAACTGTGTGAGCAGTGCGAGAATTGCATTTTTTAATGATTTATTTTAAATCCCCAAACTGATAGTCAAATATGGTAATGCATTAAAAGTTTTGATCAAATAATTGTCGTAATCTTATTTATCATTTTCAAACGCAGTCTGATCTGAAATGAATATTAATAAAAAAAAAATGTGCACTAGCATACTTGTCAATTCACCGACTTAAAATGAATGATTGAAAAATACACGGTTTTCCCTCCATTCACACAGCCTTGCACACTTAGGGATAAACTGGAGGTCTAGGACCCTTGTAAACATGAGCTACTGATCTCGATTTTAATTCTTAAACCGTAACTAAAAAAGCAAAATTTTTATGTTGTTTTAAGACCCACGTTTTCTCTTTCTCTCTCGTTCTCTCTAAACAATATTTTTTTCATGCCAATACGAGGCATTTCGTAAAAGAATTTTCTCCTTACTCTTTTCACTAAAAATGGTTTAAAACTGATAGTTTACGAGAGCCTAGACACAGAGGGATAGGAGCAAACAGGGCACTTTTAATCAAATCCATTATATCTCCATGTGATGTGACACAAATCAATGTTTAGCATCAAGTACGTCTGAGATCATGTTCTTGATTTTTTTTTTTTTTTAATTCAAAGGCTCTCTTAGCTTTCATGTCTCCAACTGGCCATTATACTTGGCAGCAGGCATCATATTAGCTGATCTCCACTCTGAGGCAACAAGCTGCTGGACAAGTTTAATCATTTTTAACGAAGTTGAATAGAAAAAATCATTTAGTTAGTTTTTTTGTTTTATTCTTAAGAAGACGTGGCCAGCCTACTCGTGGTCTACTGAAAACTCACATGATATGATATAGTCAATGCGTGCGCTTTTAAGCGTATATTGTTTCTTTCCTAACACACTGGTCCTGATTGTTGTTTGCTTAGTTGTACTAATTCAATAAAAAAACGTGAATCATTTAGATGAAAATAAAGTAAAATATAAACTCTAAAAAGACTTTTCAATTTGATTTAGAAAATGGGAGAAACAAACAACATTCTGAGATAAATCGCTTGTTAATTCACCAAACACCAAATGATTTTTTCGAATTTCAAACGTTACTCTACTTACAACAGTTTCAGGATATTGAACAGCTACGTTGAAAATGACAAATTCATCATCGCTGTAAGCTCGGCCAAATTGATCTTGAAATTTGAAAAGGGCCTCTTCGTCGTTCATGACCTTTAAAAAAAAATGGAATACTTTTAAAACATCTACTTAAACTATGGTTAAATAGGCTCAACTACACAAGAAGTCGAAATTTACCGCTATTTCTGTAATACTGAATGCTGGTTGATCCACAATATCCTGTGTGTCCATAGAAAGACTATCATCTATACATTCTCCTCCAAACTGTTGCAACTCTAATGAACTATGCCTAACTAAATTTACTGGAGTCATCTGGAATAAAAATTCATTTATATAAATTTTGTTAAGATAATCAATAAAAAACAGAAACTGTAGTCAACCTTAATTTGAACTTTTTTATTCTGCAGCCTATTTTTCCACAATTTTATGGGATTATTGAAAATTTTAAACTGAATAACTGTCTCATCTGTAAGCCATCCTCTTTCGGTTTTAAAATACCCATTGAAATAACCAAATTTTTCAGGATCAGGTATAGAATCTTTAATGCAGTTACTTGGTGCTAAAATTATTTAAATTACGTATTAATACAAGGACATGCTTCAAAATAAATTCTATAGTCATATATTCACATACTGATTTTTTTAATAAGCCTAGGTGTCATGTGAGTTTCCCATTGCCTTATTATTAGAGTTTTGGCTAAAGTTTTGATGCAATTAGATTCACAAACTACAGCAATGAAGAAACGATACTCTACATCTGCATCGGCGGGCAATGCCACCTTTTGTGAATAGATTCTACCTTCGCTGAAATGTCAATACAAAGAAAATAATAAATTTATTCTTGTCTGAAATTTTATGCTTCTCGAAATAATCTTATTTACTCGTGAGATTCAGCGGCACTATCTACTCCTTCGGATCCATTATTAAGATTGGCATAGAACTCTGTGTAATCCGAGCTGTTATCATGATGCTGAGGCGACTCGTTACCATTGCTTTCACATGTTAACGGGATAGCCTGATTGTGGTTCCAGGCACCGAGTTCAGGCAAGTTGCCTACCACAAACACAACTGCATTTTTTTCCAGACGAGATACCTATTAATGATTCATGATTTATCATAAATTAAAAATATGCAAGGGAAATATGTGCTTCGTTATTGAATATTAAAAATAATCAATAAAAATGGTTAAAAAGCAGGCTGGTTTTACAAAAAAAAAAAAAAAAAAAAAAAAAATTAAATCAAATCAAATACAGCACCAAATATAAAAAAATACTATTTATTATAATAGAAAATGTTTGTTCAGTTGTATAAAATTTTACTGCACGCCATGTACAGCAAGCACCTGTCTTTATTGATTGTTTTTAAAACAATGAAAAAAAAAAAGAATGAATAAATGATACTTGTCATACCTGCACTCTGAACATCCAATCTCTCTTAGAGGCCCTCATTTTGTTGACTTTGTGAATCTTTCAAAGATGGAACAGCTGCTAGCCAATTAACTGTTGGTTAATATCTGTTTAATGTAACTTTTAAAAAATTATTTATAAAACGTCTTTAACACACATTAGCACGTGTATACATATAGCACAACAATCTACATGCATCAGACACTAGGTATACACAATATGGATTTGGGTAAGTATCACTTTCTGAGCTACAAAACACACTGTTTAATCAGTGTCAATGCAATAGCATAATTTTCTTTCTCTCCGATAATAAAATTGTTGCGTTTCAAATTCATCAACTAAACAGCATGACAAACAAAGATTGTATAATATCAAGTGCATGCGCGCATGAATCATGGCAGTATTGCAGAGGGGAATGGAATGGGAGAGAAAAATATTAACAAATGACGCAACCAAACCAAATACGTATGCAGCAGCTGACACCGAGTCTCAGATATGCAGACAATCAACCAGACTTGGGTTCTGATTTTATTTTTCAGTCTGGCTTGAGTGTCTCGGCTTGTCTTTTATCGATTGTTACCGAACAAAAGAGCTGTTTATAATATATATTCGAGTTAAATAAACATATGTCGTTGCTGCTACTATACTACTACCATTGTCGTCACTTTCAACGTCTGCATCCATATTTAACAATATTTCTATACGAATTAATTTTAAAAAAAGAAAAAAATTTTATCAAACACGACGCAGCGGCATTCAAATTAAATTTCGAAGCTTGTATCACTAGTAGTGATTGCCTATTTTGATCTACTGCTGCATGCATGTAACAAAAATACTAGTAAATTTGGACATTTTTTTTTCGGGGGTAGTATCTTAAATATTACGAGCAGCTTCTACGCCGCGATAATTTTATACATTCGATATGTGTATATATTAAGATGTTTAATCATCACGAGGGGAAGGTTAAAACCGAGGCGAGAAATAATGTGTTGAAGCGAGAGAGACAAGAGGTCAGATGAAGTACATGGAGTGTTTACTGTCTGCTCTACTCAGTCTACTCTTGTCACGTGATTAGTTGAACATCTTTGGTTTTTTTATTATTTTACTCATTAACTTGTTTATTCAAATGTTTGAGCTCGAAGTCGGGAACTTGATTAATTTGTTGAGCTTAAAAATACGGAAGGAAGATGCGCAATAATGCACATTTTTTTGGAGTCAGATCTATTTTTAAGAGCTTTATTTTGTAATTTTGTTACAACAGTGTATCTTCGATTACAAATAAAAATTATACTATAATAAATGATAAAGAAAAAAAATGATCAAAATATGATATAGAATGAATGTACAAGTACTAGGAAAAGTGTCGTGACTAGAGAAAGAGTGTAAGCAAGTCTTGAAACCGATTATGATTTAGAATCAGACGACATAAACTACGTAAACATCAATAAAAAAAGTGCGAGAAATAAGTTAATTTTTTAGATTCACTCAGTGAATGTAAATAACACATATATCTATGTTATTCTACACCATATCTGAGCAGTAGGTACAGACAACTACAACAGCATAAAATCATAAACACGGCGTGTAGGTATCAATGAAGGACAGTTCTGCGCAATAGCTTGCATCATCATTTTCTAAAACAGATTCGCGAATCACGACTTTTGCTGAGTAAACTACTTATACCTAGTAAGCATAAAAATTATAAGACTATATTGGTACGGTTGCAATGGTAGCATTCGATACTTGTAATACTTTATGTTATGCTCCAATATATGTGGATAAGCAATTATTGGCATGCAAGATGGGGGAAAGATGAACAGTTGACAAACTCACGTGTTTAGTACTTATGGATCAAATCACTCCCTTGGCGGCGGTAACTCCTATACCTGGTTACGCAAGGCTTGTCCTGTAGCAGCTGTAACTCTGCGACTACGACGAAGACGCTGTCCTCCCTTTTTCTCCTCCTGATGATGTTGTTGTTGATAAAGCCGAAGTTGTTGGCGGCTCTCTGGGGCACCCTAAGATCGTTATCGGGCCTCGTGGAGGAGCTCGGGGGTAAGCGAGTGCTATTTGACAGGTAGACGAACGAGCTTCGGCGGCGCGTCCTCGTTAATCGCTAGCCTCAACCTCATCATCGTCGCTGGCTCTCAGAGCTCTTTCTCTAGCTTTCTCTTCTCAAAATCTGCGCACCTCTCCTCGCCGCCACTCTTTACTCGCTGAGTTTGCACTACTCAGGTCTCTTGGTATAAGTCAAACAATGACGTTGAATATTTTTTCTTGTCTCGTCTCGAGGTGCGTTGAGTCTCCAGAGCTATATCTTAACTGTGACTACAGCAGTAATACACTGACGACGACGACACAACAACTGAACAACCTTCTTCTTCGTCTTCCGCAACAATCCGCACAGTTTCGCTTCGCACAAACGGAACGAACAGGTATACCTATATAGACACTCTTACAAGTATAACGGGCGCGAAAAGCGAGCGAGCCGACTAGCACAAATTTACACTCACTTTTCTCCCTCCCGAGAGAGTTGCGAATTTGCGAAGGAAATTAACTTACTGATTTTAATATGGCCGGCGAACTGTATATCCTACGAAATGTACGATTGCGGTACTTAAGTTAAATTCTAACGAGAAGCAAGCTGCACTGTGCAGTGATGGGTGCAGCCGTTAGCCTCCGTTATTTTTGTAGTATTTTATTTTATAAAAATGTGTACGTCGACGAGAAAACTATGTGAGAATAATAATATATTACTTAATGTGACTTCGTCTTCCTCAACTGTCGTCTGTCACATCTTGTGTCATATCACGACCGTGAGACCGTCTGCCCGTCTGCTCAAATTGGCGCTTGCGCACTACGCCTCTCTCGAGTCTCTCTCTCTCTCTCTCTTATGGTGTGTGCAAGTGTGCATCCAGTGCATCATGTATTACTATTCCCCCATCACTGTGTGTATACGTGTGAAAACGCTGATCTGTTATACGTTCGAATTGTCATTGTCAATTAAATAAGCACTAATAATATCACGTTAATATTTTAGGTTATGTACAATGACCAACACTAAGCGAATTCATGTAACAAACTTGTTCGCTTGGCAACAGTTTGTTATGACTATTCTTGTGGTGATGGGTAAACCAGGTGGGTAAGTATATAAATCAGAGTTCCATTTGAGTTTAAAAAAATTGCAAGTGCCTTGAAATACAATAATAATAAACTTTAAACCTTGAGGGCTTGAGTAGGTGGGAAATTTAATATTGCCTAATTTCAATAACATTGTACAAAATGAGCTTTTTTTTAGCAAACTCATCTCAAGATGTGGGTCAAACTTTCACACAGGAACAGTTGAAAAATATCTTTTTTTTATCATTGAATGAATAATAATTATAATTTTAAAAAAGTTGATACTATTTTCGCAAAAAAATTTAAAATCCTTCAAATAAAAAAAATTATACGTGTATTAGTAATATATATCATTTTTACCCAAAATACTAATGTGTTCTGATCGTAAGAAGGTGTATTTTACCTACATGTATTGATCCCGGGTAAAAAATTAAAAGAACATCAAATAATTACAAAATTTAATGAATTAGCTTTCCAACACCTGTGGATAAATTACAAAGCTGATAATGGTTCGTACCTATATATATAAGTATACCTACCTATCATACTATGCCATCGCTTGTTTACGTTTAATTATATTTTGTTCATTCAGAGGTCTCGTTACATACATAATATAATATATTGTACTCCATATCTACGCTCCGCATATGAATGTGCGCTTATGATTATACACCAGCGGCTCCAGGAACTCAATCGATATCGCAAAAATATCGGTATGTATATGTGTATTTACGCAAGTCGAAGTAATTATTTCAATTGCAGCTTAATAATGTTATTACTCCTAGAGCCATGGGTAAGCTCATCATTTGAAATGGCTTTACATACGTGTACGGTGTACTTGATCTTGATTATTGTCCCAGCGCGAACATTACAAATGACATATACATTTGCTTTGTGGTATTTTCATTATAACTATATAACTTTTTTACATCGTTTGACTCAAAAAATGTTTTTCAATAATTTTTACTTATTTAATACTAAAAATATACAGACTTACATCATAAAAACATATAATGCGAGTATCGTGTAAACGCTTATCAAAACAAAATTTAAATACTTTCAAGTACTACGCATTTCTTTTTAATGACAGAGTTTACACTTGAAATTTTATAAACTTAAGTTTATGTAAATACTGAAAATGTGAAAAAAAAAACATTTTTGTTTTAATATTGATGACTGTTAATATTATGTATTCAGTTTTTGCTTTATAGTCGTATGAGGTGATGTGTGTCAACGCCGCAAGGGTAATTTCATGTTTACCGGAAGTTTTATCAATACATTATTTTGTAAATTAACATTTAAGTATTTCTGTCACGGTTACGCGCCAAAGTCGGCCGTATTTTGAAAAAAATGTTCCAGTCGTTACGAATTACAACCATCCCACGATTCCATTTGCAGTTTAATTTATGATACATTCATTTTATCGGCACACTAACCAACCAGTCTTATTTACAACAAAGTGCTCAGTTGTTATACGTACCATAATTAAAAAAATACTAATAAATATTCATTCATCAGCTAATCAGTCGGAAACAGTCACTACGTAAACGAAATAACCCTTGCGTGATTCAACTTCTATGAATCTTTTTTGTGAAAATAATCTATACACACGTATACTCCTTATCGTGTTTTCGAAACTTATCCCATATGTGACGAAATAATAATATGCTTTTTCCAATGACGTGGTCTTCGATATAATAATCATCAAATGTACACGATTACGATTTGGTAGTATTTTTTTGAAAAACCCATCGCTAGATCAATATTTAATTGGCAGTATTTTGGTGAAAACAAAAAAAAAAGATAAATTTTCAACCTATCCCCGCTTTCTTCACTTCCCTTGATTTTTCTTCTTTTTTTTCTTGACGAGATTTAAATTGACACGCCAATCAATAAAATCATACAATGGGTTACATAGTATATTATAATACGATACAGATTTGATATACCTATGTAGGTATACGTTATGTGAAATAAGATCGTTACGTGTATTCAAGATAAAGTCAACGAGCAATGACCACTGGACGTAGAGGTAAGTACCAAAGCCTGAACGTGTATTTTATTATTCACAATATAGTTGTAGAGGTACATAGTAAATAATATAGGAGACGAGCGCAGAAAGAGTTTAATGCGTGACGTAGTGCACACTTATAAATATATGTTAGCACTTGACCGTGACCTCCACCTTATAATATACATGATCAACGTAGACATTGTCCATTTCTTTCAACAAATTTTTTATTCGCACCTCATGTTTTTTACATGTATTTTTATTGTTTATGTGCGTACATACGTGGACCTTACGTCATGCATTCCAATGGTATGATTATATATGTACGTACACTTTGGTAGTTGGCGCGAATTAGAGATTTTGTCATTTTGACAAAGTGCCATAAATAAACAAAAGTCCACTCATAAAGTCCTAGGTATCTAGTCCTCTCACTCTCTGTATTTCTTGGTCATATTTATACATCCGTGTATTTTCGAGAGGGGGGCAGCTCTTTGTTTTGTAAGCGACGAATCTTCCGTGGTGTTTATTTTAGCTTTTCTCGCGCGACTGCTTCATTTGTGCCATTCACGTAAAATTCCTTTGTACGCCCACATTTAGTTTGTTCCTTACATTCACCTATACTATACATTTGAGAGAGAAAAATCATCGTTTTTTTGACGATGACTCACATATATAAGATATACAAGAACACACAAGCAAATGACATTTATTTCATACTACCTATTCGTATAATTAAAAAAACAATATAGTTATGAGCAGAAAAGAGATATTCTTACATGTGGCTTCTAGTTGCGTGTAAACGGGCCCAGGAAACTATACGAGCACTTGTAACGTAAAAGTTTTATCTTTTACAATACGTATACGAAAATTTGGCTCCTCTAAGAAAGATAGTTCATGTAACGGGGCACACACACTTGCGTAATAATATAAACGATGTGCATACTTTTCTTAGCTATTTATTGTTACAGATATTAAGATGTTGATATTGGTAATAATTAAGGAGTATAGGTAAAAGACGATTAACGGGTACGTGTACTTTATATTTGCTGTAGAGTGGCTCGAAATTTAGATGATGTTTTTTCTACTATACGCGTAGGCCCTCAGAAAGTCATGCAGTTTGTGTAATAATTACAATAAATTTAAAGCAAGTAAATTTCTGATGTATTTTATTTTTAAACGCGGAGTCATACTTTGGTTTCTTGTTTGTGAAAAAAAAAAAAAAAAAAAAAAATGTGTACAGAGG